CTTTATTTTTTCGGCAGCTTACTTGTATCTCTTGTATGATCTCAGCCCATGAACATTAATCAACAGGAAACCAAATCCATCATTACGGACACTTCCATCGAGATACTAGACAGGTCTTTGCCCTCCCCGTCATCTTTTTCTATAAATCGGGACTCAATTTCCTATACACAGAAGCTGAATCTCTATTTAAATCCCACTTGCAAGGTCTGGGTGAGCTTCCTATTTATAGTAAAATCCTTTTCATAATGATCTCATATACGGTACCAGGAAATTGCTCGCGGCTGGGTCAGGCCATAGACCAATATAGCCACGGACTGAGCTTTACTTAAAAAAACTCCTTCACAAGCCCCCAGAATTCTTAGGAGAAGAGTTTTCGCAGAGGATGTGATGATAATCAGGATCACCCAGGATGGATTACTGTGGTAAGGATGTTAAATTTAAGTTCAAAGAGAATTTCCGCTTGTATCAGCCAATCCCAATAATTTTTATCACGTTGGGCTTCCTTAATAAAGTATCGGGTGAACCAAGTTGACTCTAAGAGATTTATGAAATATTTGATACGCAAAGTATGTTCAGAAAGTGTTTGCCATTGGAGGCAGAGAAGTAGTAAGAGTCCCACAGTCTCTGGGGACACAAACAACCAGGGTTCAAATGCTGGCTCTTCTACTTCATAACTGGTGCCTTGAGCCAGCACCTTAATCTCTTTGGACTTCAGTTACTTCATCTGACAAATAATGCCTACTTCACGTTTTTTTTTGAGAAAATTATTGAAATGATGTATATAAAAGCTTCCTGCATAAGGTCCTCCACATGTTTGGAGTGTAATTAATGTCTGATTCTTTTGTCTTCAAAAAGCAGTTGAACAAGAGAGAGGCTGGAGGGATACGTGTGACCTGGTGGTATTCCCTTCTTAGAAGACAATGAATCATAGTCTTACACTGTTCTTGTATGTTCATATATAGAATGATGTCTCACCTACAATGTTGTTCTTCCAGCAGACCAGGGCTCTCTGCCACCCACTCCTGTGTACTCTGGGAGCTGGACATGAGATGAGGCCGGAAGACCGACCAATCCATCTGGACATGGACCAGCTCTGATCTCTGAGGATTAGGGAAATAAACCAGGGGCAGTGAGTGATATTCAGAGCCACAGATGATTCTGCCACAGGGAAGCAAAAACAGTGCTCTTCCCCGCCGCCACCCCACCCCGGGAGAAGGTCCCAGGGCATCACTGTGCTGCCTTCTTTATATCTCTACCATCTTATCTAAGCCATTCATTCCATTCATCGTTAGCCATTTCCTGGGTGCAGAGCACATAAGTATTTCAATAATGAGTTAGACATGGCCCCCAATCTGAAGGAGTGGATCATTGAATATGGGGAGGTAAGGCAGGTGGCTCAGTGGTTAAGTGCTCAGCTGCTAACTGAAAGGTTGGTAGTTCCAACCCACCAGTGGCTCCATGGGAGAGAAGACCTGGAGATCTGCTCTCATAAAGATTACAGCCTAGGAAACCCTATGAGGCATTTCTACTCTGTCCTATAGGGTCACGGTGAGTCAGAATCAACTCGACCTCACATAACAGCAACAGATATATGTGGCACAGGACTGGGCAGTGTTTCGTTCTGTTATACGTAAGGTCGCTGTGAGTCAGAGCCTAACAACAACAACAGCCACACATATATGAACAAGAGAAGGGTCATAACAGAGATATAGACAGAGTGCCTTCCCTGAGGTTTGCCTGATCATTTCTGGTTGGGGAATTGGGAGAGCTTCATGGGAGGGCCCTCACCCTGATACCAATCCCAAATGCCAAAAGGTATAAAAGAGACAGATGCATAAGCTATTGATTAGTTCATTCCACTGATATTTTACTAAGATAGAAGGATACTTCAAGCCAACTATGGTGAGAAGAGAGTAGGAACTGAAGCAAAAAGATTTTCGCGAAAATGCAGCATAGCTGTTCACTATCACTTTGTATACTAGACCATTGCTAGGCTAAAAAAGACATCTGTCTCTGTGCTCCTGGGATGTCACAATCACATACCAGGGCCTACAACTGAGATTTTAGCATTTCCCCCTCATGCCGTCGGCTAGGTACCTTTATATGGTGAATAACCAACATGAATATATTCGGGCACACTTCTCTGACTCAGTTTCCTCAGAAACTTCTCTTCAGATGAATTAAATTCTGTTCCTTTGGTCTTTTTACATAGGAACGATGTCTCCATCACTGTTGGCTTTGCTCTTCTGGATCATCTCTGAATTTTTTGTTTCTTGAAGTATTTTTGCCCTTGATTCAATAAGGTGCTCTACCAGTTGGTGGTGAATACTGTAAAGAATTATCTGGAAATTTTTATATTCTATATTTTATTACTTCATCCTTACATATCACAAGGGATACAGTGTGTTGGAGGCAATCAGATTCTTTGATTGCTTAAAGGTTTTGTGAATGGGAAGTGAGTCAGACACAATGGGAAGTCCCTAAAAGAACAGGAGAGACAGATGACAAGAGTGGACTGCCTGAGAATTTTAGTGGGATGATGTACACGAGGTTCTTTGATTGCCTTTCATGCAGGAAGCTACCTATGTTGTGATTGGCATCTCTACATTTTATATCCAATTCATATCAGTGATGGAACTTAGCTCTGGTTTACCCTTTGCCCCTAAATTTAATATACCTTACTTCTTCTTTCTTTTGACTATTTGGTAGATTTCCATGATAACTTCTTGATAAGGACACTCTGAGTTTGTTTGCTTCATAGACATGCTTGGATTTTCATAAGAGAGTTGTAGAAATAGTTAAGTTGGCAATTGAATGAGAAAGAAGAGACTTCAGTACTTCTGAATTTGGCCTATGAAAATTTTATAGGCAGAGTAAAATTTTTGCGGATGATGTGGTATTTGGAGTTTATTTACAAAACCGTTCTGTATGACATGGAGATGTCTTTGAAATGCAGTGAATGATGAAGAAAAACCCACCCTCAACAGGCCACAGGGCATGGCCAGCTCCCCTGTCTCCCCCAAATAGCAAACACTTTCTCTTCTTGCAGAGAATTGTCTGCCTCCCTGAAGATGAAAATCAATGACTTAGAAACTGATTAAACAATCCAAACAGCAACTGATAAATGGATTAACCCTCTATAATGTAATTCTGCAAGCTTTTGTCTTCCGCCTTCCCCAGGTAAGTTTTTCTATTCCTGGAGGCAAAGCAGAGGCAGGGAGGAAGTGAAGGCCAGAGGGAATCATATTAAAGTGGGTGAATCCGTTTATCATTTACTGTCTGGATAGTATTTCTGCTCACATATCTGCTTCCTTTTACAGATTTGTACCCTACGGGACCTTGATTAATGTTAGCCTGTGAATAATGAAAGATAACATTTGGGTGTGGCGAGGAAGTAGATACCCTAGTGGTTAAGGCTGATCCCATAAATGAAAAGACTTTTCTTCTTAGGTACAAACAAGGAGTGTTAATGATTCCTTTAAAGGTTTTCACAAAGAAGTGTCCACAATTGGGATAGAAAAACAGAGAAAAATGGAGACATTTCTCCCCATGCAAAGAACCTGTCCACGGCTTGGAACCAGCCCCTAGAAATGGAGAAGAATTTCAGTGCTTGAGGACAAGGGCTGTTCTCACAAGGCTTTGTTTTTAAGATCATGTCTCAAGATTTTTCTTTGTCTTTGTTAAGGAGAAAAGACTTTCAGCATTGTGGGTTATGACTTAGGGTGTTCAGTTACTTGTGAAAGTCTTAAGCCTAAAGATGTGCTCAGTAACTCATTATTCAACCCATCTCTGACACAAGCCTGAGCTCAGTGTCTGGTAAGCCTGGGTCCAGTTCTGATTCTAGGCACTTGGGGCCTGCAGACTAACTTGTCTTGGGTGCTTTCTATGACCAATGAGTTGGGACTTCAGGGAGGTGAGTCTGAACAACAGCAGACACCTGTGTATCTGCCAAGATGCTCATCAAAGTCCTCAAGAGCATCTTTGATTTCCTTCATGGAAATGACTGTCTATCAGTGCTTCTTTGTTTTCCTTTGCAGGGACAGGAGGAATGTCTCCTAAACAAGAGCATCTTTCCCAAGGGCAAGGCCCAGGTATTGACTCTTCTCTCTCCCTCTAGTCACACCACTGTTTATGGTTGCCATTTAGTGCTGTTCAGTGCCGAGAGAAGTTCACTTGACTAGTAGAACTTCTGGATGGTTTGCTCATCCAGGGATGCAATCAGAAGAGCAGGGAAGTTGCTATAAAAATACAGGGCTGGGAAGTATTGGAAGATTACACTAAGTTCTGGATTACTTGCAAGGCATTAGTACTATTGAACCGAGAAGGATCAAAAAGAAAATCTAGCCCAATTTAACAACTTCGTTGTAACAAAACCTCAGGTTCTAAACTTCATATTCTTTCTGAAGCAGATTCTGCCACACTGTGGGAGGAGAGGTGGAGGCAGTAGAAACCCATCTCAGCCTAAGACTGGAATTTTTTTCTTAATGTTTTTACAGCCCAGAAAGGACCGGATGGGACAGTCATTCCCAATAACTACTGTGACTTCTGCTTGGGGGGCTCTAACATGAACAAGAAGAGTGGGAGGCCCGAAGAGCTGGTGTCCTGTGCAGACTGCGGACGCTCTGGTGAGTGTGGCCCCTTCTTGCATCATGTGCCCATAGACCAGGGACTGTTCCACTTGCATCCTTGTGCCATCCTGGGGAGGATTGAAGGGCAGAATGGAGAAGTGGTAGTGATGATTTTGAGTGGAGAGGGGTTGTTAGGGCATTTTGATATTTTTTTTCTTTGGGTCTTAAGAACCAAAACTTATGCCTAGGGAAAAGAGCAAGGAGAAATTTTTGATTTGTTTCTGGCCTTTCCATGAGGTGTATATTTCTTTTGTGTGTATTTTGCAAACAACAGTGACCTAGAGTGAAAACACGTGGAGACACAGGCAACATGCTTTCTTGTATTGGATGATGTGAATCTAACAAAAAGATGTGTTTGTTCTGTGGAAGTGCCTGAGGCAAACAGGAAGAGTATGGAAACATGAATATTGGAAGAGCAGCCACACCTTGAATTGTGGGAGTCAGAGACCTGTGGGCTCCTGGATAGCTTCATAAACACCACCTCCATTGGCCACTCATCCCATTTTCCCGTATGGAACAGACAAAAGAGACCCTGATAGATCAAGGAGGAAAATGGGCAGGTGCTCCTAGGGCTAATCTGGAGTTGTCTTGGCGTATTTTCTTTTTCGTCATTTAACCTATCTGGAGATTAAAGTTTTTTTCTTTTCTTTTTTTAAAAAAAAGAGACTTTGGTATTGTTCCTTCATTCTTAAAATGAGTTCAGGTCTTTGAATGTTGTACAAGTTGTTGTTTTGTTTTTTTACTTCTAACCAAACCATTATTTTTGGCTGGTCATGGTTGGTACTATCTATTTTTCAAATTGTTTTATGTCATAACTAGACCAAAGTGCAAGGCAGGGAAGAGAGAGGATTTCAAGCTTATCTTTATTCTTATCAACTACTGACTAGTAGGTGAAACACAATTCAATTGAGTGGTCATTTCTGGCAGTGAGGGTCACTGTTCCTGTCCACGTTTCTGCCTAGTCTCTTTTCTACTCCCAGTCCACAAGAGAAGGACTGAGATGACCATACCTTGGCTTATCGAAGCTCTTTAGTTCTTCCCTTACTTTATCTGTAAACCTCAGCGTTAACCATTTTATGTTACAAAGTTAGGGTTGCTTAGGGCTTAAGACTGACTTGGCTACAAAATCAGTAATTAGAAAAGGACTGTGGTTTCTGTTGCATACAACCCTCCACATTTAGCTCCCAAGGACCCTGGTAGGGTGGCTTGTTTGTGCAATTCTGTCAATTCATTTACTTTCCAGACATGATACCTAATATGTGGAACTTTTTACTCTATTGGTGCTGGCTTAGAAGGCAGGGCCTACTTGTTGGTGGACTCTGGTTTTTAGATACGTAAAAAGAAAATGAAACAAATGAAAATCAGTTTTTAAAAAGCAAGCAATCAGGCAAAATCTCTATTGCTAGAAGCAAGGTCACTTGGCAGAGTGATATTCTAAGTAGAATGTTATGGGCTACTGTAGGTTTGGGGTGGGCTAGAGAGGGAAGTTTCAGAATTCTCATTGCAAATGGCTGTATTTTTTCCCCTCCCTTTCCTACAAAAAGTAGGGTACTTGAATTTGATCCATGGGGGACCAGAAGCGGGCAGTTAATTTTGTCTGCCCAAAGCCTATCCCTCCACAGCCTTCACTCAGCTTTCTCTTCCCAGAGTAGTCCAGGTATTCTTGTTGTATTTGCTGAGGATTAATTCTGGTGGATCATTTAGTCAGAGCCTAACTCTAATGTTCCTGAAGTAGTTGATACCTTGGGAATAAACAGGTGGCATTAACCCACGGGATATGTTTGTTAAGGCAGGTGGGTGAATACTTCCGTAGGGCTTCCCTGGGATCCTTGCAGGGAAGCGCAGAAGAGCTTCCTTTCCCTTCCCATCTACCCCAGTACTTCTGTTTCCTGGTAGAAAGTAGGATTCCTAAAATTGGCATTATAAGTGGAACATGACTGCCTTATTTGGGGGCCCATTTAGAATGTGAAAAAATGTAAACCGAATTTTATAGATTTCAGGATACTGTATTTTATTAATTTTTTGTACCCCTATTTCTCACCTTCGTAGTGCTCTGGGTTAGATTTGACAACTCTTTGATCCAAGTAGCTAAGTAACTAAGACCTGGACATGCTTAGTGGCTGGTATTTGTACTAACGTGTGCGTGTGTGTGTTAGCGTACCCGCGTGTGTGTGTATATACATGTATGTGTGTGTAAATCACAAAAATTTCTTCCAGTGATTAAAAAAAGGGAGACGCTTTTATTCCTTACCATTTATCAGACTTTCCAACTTCGTTTTGCTTTCAGTGCAAATGAACTACATGGGGTAAGGGCAGAATTGAAAGGGTATCGGAAGAATGGGATTAGAAGTGGATAAAAATAAAAATGGATGGCGGCTTAACCACCTTGAATGGGTTATCTGACAGTAATACCTTTGTAAAGCGGACTGTCAAAGTGAGGGACAAACATTGTTCAAGGAAACACCCACCGAAAACACCAAAGAAATACCAACCAGGCTTAAAAACTACCCAGGGAAATCATTGTCTGGGGTGGGTTGAGTGAGTGTGCGTGCGTATGTGTGCATACGGAGGAGAAAAAAGATCATGGCTGAATCTTTCACTGTCAGAAGCTGTGCACATATGTCTTATGGTAAAGAATGATGCCTTTTCTCAGGAGACGGGAGGCTGTCTTCCCTGAAAATGTTTGCTTTGTCCCACTATCCCAAATCCCTGTCACCAGGTGATGTACCCGGTTAATCCCTTTTGGTGTGAACTGGTTTTCTATTTTGCTCTTAAGAATAACATTGTAATAGTGTAATAAGAATATTAATAATGATGTCTGTTGCTTAACCCATGTGCTGATATATTCATCATACATGTCAGCTCATTTGGGAGGAGAAGGCAGGAAGGAGAAGGAGGCAGCGGCCGCAGCACGCACCACGGAGGACTTATTCGGTTCCACGTCAGAAAGTGACACCTCAACTTTCCACGGCTTTGATGAGGACGATTTGGAAGAGCCTCGCTCCTGCCGAGGACGCCGCAGTGGCAGGGGTTCGCCCACAGCAGATAAAAAGGGTAGTTGCTAAACCCACGGAACAGACTCTGGGCAATTCGCCACCATCCTCTGACTTTGGTCATTGTTCTGGTTCTGATATATTTTTTTTAATGAAAGAAAACTTTAGGTTTTTCCTTTATCCTTTCTTTTTCCTCTCCTTCTCCGTGCGTCCCTTCCTCCCTTTCCCTCTCTTTTGGGTATGTACAACAGAAGCACAAACTACTGAACAAAACGGAACAAAGAGCAGAATGAGAGTCCTTCAAAGAGAGATGGAATCATGATGTACTATTTATTTTCCATAGAAATGGGAAGTTAGGCAGATTATTTCTTTTTTTGGGTGGGGGAGGGGATCTTTTTGACATGAGCAGAGTTGATTTCCTCAGTTTTCCTATTTTTGGCAAAATGAAGACAGGAGGAACATTGGGTTTGGAAACAAAGACCCAATAACATTTAAAAAATATATATTATTTACATATTCTAGGTATTATTAGAAACAGACTTTTTTTTTTTTTTTTTTGGAGAAGGGAAATCAAAGAAATCGAAGTAATATCCTGTTTAGAAGAAAGCCGCTGGGGGGAGGATTGTCTCAAGGAAACCTAGTCAGGATGATTTCCTCAATGGGAGATGATTGCACATTCTGTACCCCATGGAGTTTGTGGCTCCCCACAGCAGACCCCCTCCCCGTTTCTCCTCCCTGACCTTTCCATCTTCCTCCCTGCTTGCGAGAATGTCAGCAGCTCCAGAGACGTCAGGGGCTGCCAGAGCCCAGGCCCCTGACCAGCAGCCGCCTCCTCAGCTCCTCCTCCATCAGCACAGCGGCTGTTTTGTTGTTGCTGTTTTTTTCCTCACTTTCCTCCTGGTGAAGAGCAATTTCCAAATGCAGGAATGGAATATAAGCAGGACGTCATGGACTCAGCAGTGACAAAACGACCCCGAGGCCACGCTCATGGAAGAAAGAATGATACCTCACAGTACATTTCCCCTCCCCTCACCCTGTTTAAAACCATATATAAATACCTGTTGGATTATCAAGTCTCCCGTATTTCTTCTTCTATTTTTATAGTGCCCGCCAGGCACTTTGTTTTATGTCTCCAATAGCACCTCCTGAAATAAACCAAAGCAACACTTGCTCAAGGCCCCTGGGGCGATGGAGAAGACGTCCACGTCTTTGGCAGCCACAAGAACCAGCAGCTGCGTGGTCCTATTCGAAAGGTATGTCTTGGCTGGCCTGTCTTACAATGAGGGCAAAACCATCATGGTTTTTTTTAAGTTTTTTTTTTCCTCCCCCCAACCCCCCATTTTGTCTTTTGCTTCTCTGGGTTCTGACCCCCTTGGTGTGACAGCGGCTTCTGGAGGGTCTTGTGCCCGCCCTCTGCTGCCTGCGTGCATGCATACCTGAGCACAGGTGTGGGAACTGAGGCTTGCTTGGAACATGGAAGGGTGCTGTGTGGAGAATGGTGGGCTTCTGGCTTCTGGCTGTGAATTCAACTGCAGGAGAAAATGGCTGGGGCAGTGCTTGACTAACTCTACCTCCCTTGGCGAAACCTGGAAATTGATTCCAGGGAACTGAGGTTGGAGTAGGCTGCTGGATTTGGGTAGCAATGAGCAGATGTGGCCACAGGGGCCTGCATGTCTAGGGTGGTACTCCATGCTCCGGGTCCTGATTTCACAGCCCAGGGGATGACTTCAAATTAAAGATGCCTCATTAGGCACAACACTAAATTGTGCTGTTTGGAAGATTCTGAGCTCCCACAGAGTGTGGCTAGGGTCTCCAGTCTCCACGGGAGCACAGGTCCAAAGACACTGCCATTTGGCTTGGGTTGGGAGATCTGAGTGGCTTCTCAGGCAACAGGCTCCTTGTAGGTGTCTGGAAAGATCTGCTTTGACAATCCAACTTTTGCTGCTCCTCATGAATTGAACCACTCATTCTAATAACAAACCAACCAAACAAAAGCCAGGACCAAGCAAAGAAATACACAAATGGACCCTCTGTGCTTCCCTGGTAGCCTGAGACAGAAAGGGCTTCCACTTTTCTCCTGCTTGAGATGTGGAAGTGCTGGGCCGGGCATTTGTGCTCAGTTGTGAGAGAATGAAGGTAACAACCCCACCCACTTCTGGGATGTTCTGCCTAATCTGTTTGTGGTCCTGTTCCCAGAAACTATAGCATCAAATCCCAACATTGTAATGCTCCTGCATGCTCATAGGTGTGAATAGGCCAATATAATTGGTTCAAGTAGGTCTCTATTCAGGGGAACAATCTGCCCGTGTCATCTACCTCCTCTTTACTTTGTCTATTCCGTTACTTTGACTTAGATATTGGATTCATAGCATTACAACTCATTGATGAAATGTGAGCTTCCATGTTAATACAGATATGTTCAACCAATCTGCACTATCACTGGAAACCTGTCTCTTTGTGTTTCCTGAAATTCTCAATGGCAGCATTGTTTTGAATTTGATTTTTTTTTTTAATCCACATAATTAAAAATTATAAAAGGCCACCTGACTTCAGAGTCTAGCTTGGGGTTCTGAAGGGGACCCAAGAGTGTAGAACTTTCTAAAGAAGGCAAACCTCCAGGGAAGTATTTATCTGAGGATGGCTATTGCTCGCCTACTTTACCTTTGCCTAGTAGAATTTGATTTTCGGTGTCTCTTGTTAGGGGTAGTAGATGTCCTTCTCAGTTGTTGTAGCACATGTGAGAATAGCAAGGTCACTTAGCATTGCCTGAATACCTTGCCTTGCCTTGTAATAGACTCAAAGCTTACATATATATATATGTTTTTTTAAATAACCGGAAGAGACTTTAAAGATGATCAAGTTCAAATCTTTCACTTTTCAGTTGAAAAAAAATTAACCCAGAGAGGTTAAGTTTGAGAAATTGGAATGAACATTGCTTTGCTATGTGTTGGAATAGACTCCACGGTGATGGGTTTGGTTTGGTTTTGGTTTTTGGAGGCAATGTCTTAAGGTGAAGGAAGTCAACTCTAAGAGGAGATATGGGAGGAGGAAGCTGGCTGGCTTGGGTTTCCAAACTTGAGGGTGGTTGTTTTCGTATCTTTATCCCTCTTTCTCTGATAACAATGGTCAGCATTTATGTGCCAGGTATTGTTTGAGGGCTTTTTTTAGAATACCTCATTTAATCCTCATGACTACCCTATGAGATAGGTGCTAGCATTATCCCCAGTTTACAGATGAGGAAACTGAGGCTTGGCAATACAGTTAAGAAATATGCCTAAGGCCCAACAGCTAGCAAGGAGTCAGGTTTTATTTCCTGGCATCCTGACTCCACAGCCTGTAGTCTTTGCCATTGCTCTCCTGCATATTCCTAGTATACGTATGTATGAAATAGATAGGTAGATAAAATATACCTTGTGCGCTCTCTCTCTCTTTCTATATGTATATCTATATAAGTGTATACAGAGAAAGGTATATTTTATCTACTTCATATATGTGTATATATATGTTTTTTGTCAGTTGCAACTCAAGAAAGGAGTATTTATAATGTGAATGTAGGTTTAAAAGGTAACCTTAATAAAACACAGTTTAAATACCTGAAAGGTAAACAATTAGATTCTGAAAAAGAGAATTCCTGTTAGAAATGTGTACCAAATATTATAGATAACTCATTTTCTAACAACCATTTCTAGACATGTCCCTCCTAGACATTAGGGACAAAGATGTCTCCTTTTGTGTGACCTCAGGAATTGCAGGAGCTTGTGGGCAGTCAACACACGTATCTTTTTATTGTTGACACCGTTAAATAAGTATCACTACTCAAATTTTAAAAGAAAAAGAAAGTAGAATCATCAAGGAAAAAATGATCAGACCAGTTTTGTTTCTTTCTTTTTTTGTCCTCAGCTCAATAAAGCACCATCCGAAATACTTCAGATATGCCACCTAATTTTCAGAGTCCTAACCTAAAGATAGGGGTACTGAAGATATAGAGTTTTCTGAATTTCCTACAGTATTCAAATATCCGGGGGATAGAGTGGGGCCCTGTTGATGTGGAGGTGACTATTGTTGTCTATCTGACTTTTGTTTTCCTACCTAGAACAATCTAACTCTTTATTTCTATTACCGAGACTATGTAGAGATCAGATCTGATAATCACTATAACACTGGGAGTGAGAAATATGCATTTAATTTTTTAAAGGTCCTTTAAAGTCAGTAATGCAATTTGCTATGGTATTTTAGAGAGAAAGATTTAATAAAAAATATGATGTTCACATCAATAGTATCCCTTTAAGTCTTCCTGCTTACTTTGCATCTCTCTTTGCACCTAATGGGCTGCAGCCTGATACTGCCTTTATACAGCACTTGAGGGAACACAAGATCATTACTTGGGGAGAGAGCTAAAGGCTGTTTGGAAGTTCTCACTTCATGGTGGAATAAAATTAATTAATTTTATCCCAATATGCCTCCTGTTACATCTGATGAATATGATCTTGAACATGCACTTAAAGTTTGAGCAGACTCATGTATTAGGAATTTTTCCACAGGGGATTTTGTTTAGCCTTTGAAAGTGAAGTTATTTGTGTTGTGTATCTTCTGAGTGAGGTATTTTTCATCTGGTGAGTAGAAGCCTAGATTAGAAATGAAAAATTCTGGAATCTGGACTCAACTCACTATGTGAGTTTGTCCCCATGAATCTCTGCCTCAGTTTCTCCATCTCTATGATATAGCTGTTTCTTTTCCCATCGTAATATGTAACGAACATTATGTCCTAATGAGTCTTAAAATAGCCCTGTCAGGTAGGATAGATGTTATTTATCCCCATTTCACTGAAGAAGAAGCTGAGGTTCTGTTAGCTCCGATGAGTGGTCTGAAGTTCAGGTCAGTAGGTGGTATCTGGGTTGTCTAATATTCTCCTCAGTCATACTGACCTTCTCATAGATCGCACTTTGAAGGTTTATTGAGTAAAATCTGTAAAGGACTTTGAGGTCTTTCATTCAAGACCTTATTGGATTAGAGTAGGCATTTGACGCTGTAAAAAACAAACAAAACTCCAAACCTATTATCACATTAGAATCGTGTTGAGAAGTAGTAATAAGAGTGTTCTAAATCCTCATGAACTTTTCCAAAGAACTAAGGTTGAGCTTTCTAGAAGGTCAGTGTGGTGAAGGGTGGGAGGAGGTGACGGTGGCAGAGAGTCAGCACTCAGACCCTCTTTTGGTCACATGTACAAGTGCCTAACACTAAAACATCGAATTATATAATACTTTTGTGCTTAATAAAGGTGATTCTGACTGCTCGAAAATAGCAGTACAGGAAAAACATTTTTGCCTGACTGATTTCCAAAACAGCTGAAAATCATGGAAGATCCCTGTCAGAACAGA